TTGGAGGGTCGGCCGAAAGCGAATCCTACGCTGATGGTTAAAAAGTGATCCGAGTTTTCCCCCTCCCATTTGTCGTAGTTGCGATCTCATAGGTATCAGCGATCATCGGCTGATAAGGTCTATTCTGCATCGGACATACGGACCGAGCAAGCGTGCTACGACTCCATGATGTGAGCTTTAATTTTGTGGCGCGTGACGATTTTGTGGGGAATTGATATATAGGTATCTCCTGGAGAACGTACTCGACTTTGACATCAATCCGAAGGCAGGATATCATCCCAATTGCCAACTTGCTACCTACTTCGACATCTACTCCTTCTTGCGAGACCGTGGGGAACTCATAGGTCGGTGACGGCTTAGGAAGTGGTCTTCAGGCACTAGGGCAGTGCGAGTCGACATGCACGTACAGAATCTCGTGCACTCCCACGTCTTCACTGACATTCACGAGTGGTGCCTCCGCTTTGAAATTCTCAGCATATTCCGATTGTGGGGACGGAACTTTGGAGAAGGTGGGTCGTTAGGGGACATGATCCGTATCTTTATCTCGGGAACCTTGGATTCCTCAGGTGCTGATAGGAAGTTCAACTGGCAGTTGTCGTTGAACTCTATCGCTCAAACTGTGGATCCTCTTACTCTGAGCTACGTCGTGCAAAATGACGATCGGGAAGCTGATGCGAAGACCGTAACGAAGGAAGCGGCAATCCACAGGTAAAGGGTCCTCTTTTTACCGCATCTTTTTTGAAGCACGCTGAAGGTATATTATTCTCATACTGCTATGCAATGGTGACACGACACGAGTATTGTTCTACATTGACAAGTTGGCTAAGCAACAGCCGAAGGTCTTTGGTCATCCTAATGTTCGGTAAGGCACTGTGGAGGGGGGAGGGGAGATTCACATGATTAACTACATATGTTAGTGACAATATGAGAATTGTGAGTGAAATTTCGGAGATTCTCGTTGATTTCTGCGCAATTTTACCAAAATTCGTGAATAGACTTATATTAGTGAGGAAACAGAGACACAAGCTTAGGAAAGCGAACATATATTCCAACACTGGTAAAGGATTTGCTCGGATAAAGTGATATTTCAGGTTCGCACTGAACGTGGTGAATTGGTTCAGAGTAGGGCAGTGGTCACGAGTGTTGCAGACGTACGCGAGCCCGGCTACAGATTTCCTTACGGCAACAGCATTGATGCCTGTGAGTTTTCACGGGAGCTTCTGAGTTTAACGCATGGTTAACTGCGGGGAGATGAATAAATTTTTGGGGAATTCT